TTCTTCTTACTCTAGATTTTATATGTTATCTCAAAGTGTATATAAATTTTACAATAATTTGTTTCCTTTTTCCCATTTTTTCATAATTAAGACACAAAAGCATTGATTGTGGTTATGAGTATTATTAACTCGTACGATAAGACACGTTTTAGAACAAGGAATTTTAATAATAAAAATGTCGAGATATTAAATTTGTCTTTTAAAATTTTTTTTGATTGATTTATTGTAACTATTTTGTTGGTAATTACAAAGGGTGGTAAATTGGTAGGTTGGGTTGGTTATGAGTTGGGTTAAATTGGATTGGGTTAAAATAAATCAAATCTATTTTTCGTTCACCTAATAAATGAGTTATAATGAGTTGAATTTATAATGAGTTGGGTTAAACCGATAAACGTATAAAATAATTAAAATTCTTAATAGACACATTAGTAAACTAAGATACGCACACACACATATATTAGTAGTACACTAAAATACAAACATGCACAAAGACACTAATACACTAAAACACACACAAATTAATACATTAAAAATATACACACTAATACACAAAAAATACACACATATACTAACACAAAAACTAAAACATATTTAACAAAAAAAATACACATATAATAGGTCGGGGTCAATTGTGGGCTATGGGTTAGTTTATGGGTCATGGGTCGACCCACGGGTCACAGGTTAACCCATGGGTCATAGGTGGTGTATTAGTGTGTGTGTTTTTGGTGTATTAGTGTGTATTTTTTGGTATATTAGTGTGTATTTTTTGGTGTAATAGTGTATTTATTTAATTTTATTATTTGTGTTATTTAATAAAAAGTTAAATATTCAATCCAATGGGTACCCATTTGTAATCAATATTGACCCGCTTAATTAAAATAAATAATATTACCCAATTCATTTATTTATGGACGAGTTAATGGGTAATGTCATCTTTAATAATTACATATATTCTAAGTTTATAAAACAATAATATATTTTTAGAAATATTTGGTTAAAATAATTTTGGATTGTTAAGAGAGAGCAAAAGGGAAATGGAAGTTTGTCTTATTAGGAGGGTTTTTTTTTTCTTCCTTCCAAGAAAAATACAATAGTTGCATAAGATAAACACTCATTATTTAGCCTTAAAATATTAGATTTAAGAAGGATAGCGACTGGCCGAATGATCATTGCTTTTTTGTTGGATTTTAAAGTCGTGGGTGCAAACCATGTCATTCTCCACTATGTAATATTACTGATGAAAAAATATATATATTTTATTTTTAAGGGCTTATACAAATGGAAATATGGTCTTATACCTAATAAGATCATATGGACAAGAGTGAATGAGCTCAACCACATGGACAAGAGTGAAGTGGTTGACTCATCATTAATGTCATTCTTTACTACAAAGAAACCGATGGAAAAGTTTCCATTTCTACATTTCCATTAGTGGGTATTAACTTTTTTTTTTTTTGGTCGAAGACATACACAAATAACATACAAAGAACCCACACATCTAGGAGCTAAGAACGCAGAGGGCTGAGAGGGACTCATTGACCACATTCCTTTTAAAAGAGGAAATTGGCCAAAGGCCTCTTAAACTCGATCAATGAGTTCTTAAGCAAGATGTGCCATGGGTTCTTAAGCAACCGAAGTGAGATATATTTCAATTTTTTGGTTACACAAATAACACACAAAGAATCCACACATCTAAGAGCTAAGAACACATAGGGTTGAGAGGGACTCATTGACCAAATTCCTCTTAGAAGAGGAAACTGGCCAAAGGCCTCCTAAACTCGATCCAACAGTTCTTAAGCAACCGATGTGCCATGAGTTCTTAAGCAACCGATGAGGGATATATTTCAGGTTTTTGGTTGAAGACATACACAAATAAAACACAAAGAATTCACACATCTAAGAGCTAAGAACACAGAGGGTTGAGAGGGACCCATTGAACAAATTACTCATAGAAGAGGAAACTGGCCAAAGGCCTCTTAAACTCAATCCATGAGTTCTTAAGCAACCGATGTGGNAGGCCTCTTAAGCTCAATCCATGAGTTCTTAAGCAACCAATGTGCCATGAGTTCTTAAACAACTGATTTGGGATATATTTTAGGTTTTTGGTCGAAGACTTGCTCAAATAACACAAAGAATTCACACATCTAAGAGCTAAGAACACAGAGGGCTGAGAGGGACCCATTGACCAAATATTGAGCCACCTTGTCATAGTTATGGATGCCCATAGCCATATATACCATGTTGCTTATTTCTACTTACTCTAGATTTTATATGATATCTCAAAGTGTCCCTGTTGGTATATAAATTTTACAATAATTTGTTTCTTTTTTTCCATTNTGCTTATTTCTACTTACTCTAGATTTTATATGATATCTCAAAGTGTCCCTGTTGGTATATAAATTTTACAATAATTTGTTTCTTTTTTTCCATTTTTTTTAATTAGGACACAAAAGCAATGACTGTGGTTATAAGTATGATAAGACATGGTATAGAACAAGGAGTTCTAGTAAAAAATATGTCAGACATACTAAGTTTGTCTTTAAAAAATATTTTTGGTTGATTTAATGTAACTGTTTTGTTAGTGATTACATATATTCCAAGTTTATATGACAACAATATATTTGTAAAAATTTGTGGTTAAAATAATTTTCAATTGTCAAGAGATAGCAAAAGGGATATGAAAGTTTGTCAAATTAGGGATGTTTTTTTTTTTCCTTCCAAGAAAAATACAATAGTTGCATAAGATAAACATTCATTTAGGGGTGTCAATCGTATCGTGTCGTATCATTTTCGCGTCGTGTCACTTTTGATTGTATTATTTTCGTGTAGTATCACTTTTGGCACGTGTCGGATTTGTGTCAATCAAGAATTATTTAATTTGACAATAACTAATATAATACTATTTAAAAAATTTTAAAATTTTTATTTTCTATTTACAATACTCGTTGGATAATTATCTTCTATTTACGGTACCCATTAATCGTGTTCTTCGTGTCGAACCTTAATTTGACTCATTTATTACTTGTGTCAACTAATCGTTTTATTTTTAGGTTCGTGTCGGGTTCATGTTAACGGAAAAAATTGACACCCCTACATTTTTTAGCCTTAAAATATTAGATTTAAGAATGTTAGCGGTTGACCGAATAACCATTGTCTTTTGGTTGAATTTTAAAGTCATGGATATGGACCTTGTCATTCTCCTCCATGTAATATTGCGGATGAAAAAAAAAATATATATTTTATTTTTAAGGGCTTATACAAATGGAAATATGGTCTTATTATACCTAATAATTGCGTGAATGGGCTTAACCACACGGACAAGAGTGAAGTGGTTGACTCATCATTAATGCCATTCTTTAAAGAAACCAATGAAAAAGTTTCCATTTCTCCCATATGAATCGAACAAGGCCTATAAACGTACCATGCCCATCAAATATTCTTGTTATTGCATTTTCAATGGAAAAATAAAATTACTTATTTAACCCTTAAATTATATCATTTATGTTAATTAACCCCATGAATTAGGTTTTGTGTTAATTTAATTATATCCTAATATCTAACTCGTGAAATGCACGTGAGGATTATCGTCAAAATTAGCTTCAAATTTTGATTGAAATACCACATTGAGTCAGATTTTATAGTTCATAGATTAAATTGACGTAAAACATATTTTAAGAGTTTGATAGACACAAACGATATATAGTTAACTCTATGATTTTTATTTTTAATGTTATTTTTTGATCAATCTGGAATTATTCGATTTGAAAAGAAGACTTAGGATTAAAAAAACTCAAATATTGTAGAACCATTAATCATCCGAATTAGAAAATGGAAAGTCAAAAATACAAAAGAAAGAGAAAAATAATAATTCTATAATAAAAGAAAAAAAAAAGGAAATAATAGAAAGAAAAATACAAAATACTTCCGTATAAAGAAGACTTTCTTTTCGATTGAGTTATTTTGGGGAGCACGTATATTAGTGGCATTACTATAAATATGAAACGAATGGGCTCCAATATCGACCAATAAAAGTAATCTGTAATCGCTTTTGCAGAAACGGCTCGTCTAATTCGTTGGCGAATCGTGGCATTACTCTATCTTCACTACCAGCAACTGAAAGGTAGCCAAAGTTTCCACACGCTTTTTATCAGCGTGTAGAAATCACGCTCCAAAATTTCCATCATGCTTTACCCTTTGATTCGCTAATGGTCATCACGTTTGTGAATAGAGGGTGGGGCAATTATTCTGCCAGCTAAGGTAGAATGTTACTGGCAAAATGCATGGCATGATATGCATGCCATGAGAAGATAGGATCATGCGATATGTATGGCCATGCCAACTCATCATCATTATTTTTTCATATAAATATTCACCCCCTTCAATAGATTTTGACCTCTTTGGGAATCGGTGAAAACAAGTTGCAGCAGAGAGAGACAGAGAGAGTGAGAGAGACAAAACCAACGAGGTATTCTTTATTCTAATTTAGTATTTGTTTGTTTAGTATTTCGATGTTTTCTGATATTTATATTGCTGCGCATGGAGATTTGCGTAGTTTAATCGGTTGTTAAAACAATTTTAATTTTCGGAGATCTCTCTCTTCACACACACGGGGTCGATGTCACTGTCTCCTTCTGCAAATTTGTGGAAAATTTTAACCGATTGTTATCTTGTTCTAGAGAGATAATTGTAGCCATAGATTTCTAATCTTCTCTGTTCTTGAACGAGTGATAAGTCTATATTTATTGATATACCAGATCCGATTTTCACTCTTTTTCTCTGCTGTTTGATTGAAATTTCTGAAGGGTTTTGCTAGAAAAGATTGTGGGAGAGAGATTTATGTCGGCAAGGTCTGAATTGGTTGTGATTGGGGCTCCGTTGAAGCTCTGGATTTCTCTGTCTTCTGTGTTCTTCTTTGCTCTGTGCATGCAACTAGTTCTCTGCTGTGTTCACCAGCAGAGCACCAACCTGCTTTTCCCAACTGTTTCGATGCGTTTGAGGCCAAAAAGGTACTAAATCTCTCTTAAACCCTTATGTTTGTTTTGTGTTTTTTATGTTTATGATGGCTGATCTGAAACGGGGTGTGTTCTGTTTTGGTGGGTTTTTATTTGTTTTGCAGGACTTGTTCTGGAGTAGTGTGTTTTGGGGGTTTTCACATAAAGCGATTTTTCTACCTCTTTTTGTTCTTGAGAGGGCCTCTTACTTGATAAAACTCTGCTTCTGAGAGAGAATTCCATTGTTTTATCTTTATCATTCTTTTCTCTGGCCTTTTTATTTTCATTTTCCTTTCTTCCAAACACAATTTTCCGGGTATTTTTTAGGGGTTCTGGGTAAAGATAAAGAGAAAAATGCCAGGGCCTCGGAAACAGTCACCATTGGTTCTTCAAGAAAACCTCTGCAAAAAGTCCAAAAGCAGTGCAAACTCTATTCAATCCAATAAAACCATCAGAAAAGTTCGGATAATCTGTCATGATCCGGACGCTACCGATTCTTCAGACGATGAGCGAATCAAAGAACCGCCGTGTCCGAAACGAATTGTTCGAGAGGTTAATCTTCCAACTGGTTTTTCTCATGGACCAATCAAACCAACCAAAGGTCCAGAAATGGAGAGTTCGTGTCAAGATAGCAACAATGGCGAGAAAAACCCAGAAAAGAAGGTGGTTTTGGAGAAAAACCTATTTTCGAAACGTGCTTCTTCCTCGAAATACAGGGGGGTTAGGCAGAGGAAATGGGGGAAATGGGCTGCGGAGATTCGCGACCCTATTCAGAAAAAAAGGGTTTGGTTGGGGACATATGATACTCCTGAAGAGGCCGCAAAGGCTTATGAAGTGAAGAGGCGTGAATTTGAGGCCATGGCTATTGCTTCTGAGAAGAGTTTCACTCACTCTTCCACTGCAGTGGTCTCTGAGTTTTGTAATCAGAAAGAACCTGCTGTTTCTGAGGGCTCTGGAAGTGTGGTTTCTCACACATCACCGAGTTCAGTTCTTGATTTGGAGTCTCTGACTTCTGCTTCAAATTCACGAATCAATGGCATATGTGATGATTTTGTTAAAGATGTTTGTATGGAGACCAACCTCGATGACCTTTTTATGGAGACTAATATTGAAGATGTGTGTATGGGGACCAAAGTTCCTGAGGAGAAAGTGGCTGATGTGGGTTTGGTGGATGATGCTTCAATGTTAGCTCAAGTTGGGGAAGGTTTGGATTTGGGTTTGGAGCTTGGTTCTCTGTTTATTGATGATTTTGGGCAGGCTCTTGATGATTTTTGCGGATTTGATGACCTACAAATTTGTGGGTTTGATGATGATAAGCCTAGTGATCTGCCTGATTTTGATTTTGATTTTGATTTCGATTTCGAGGTTGGGAATGAAGTGTTGGCATGGATGGATGAACCACCCCTGATGAAAGAACCCCTCAATATTGCATGCCCTTAAGTTTTGCAGTCTAGTAGAATGAGTATTAGTAATGCCTTAAATTATTTTGCTTTGGAGAAGTATCTCAAGAACATTGAAGTACTTGAGAGTTTTGTTTTCTTTCTTAAATGAGCCTATTTGTTTGTTTATTGAGAGAGATTCATAAGAGGAATGAGCTCAGTTCAGTTGTATGAAGAGGGTCCTTTGGGTTTTACTGTGCTATTAGAGCCGTTCAAAGGATTTCCAAAACTCATTTGAGAGAGGAGGACATCACTGGTGCAAAGTTTTGAGAGTTTGCTCATTCCTCTGCTCTCTTTTTTGCTCTGGTATTAAATTGTCAGTGTTACTTTCTTTTATATATGTACGAGGCATGAACTCTTATGATGTATTTACCTCAGTAATTTGATAGCCCTTTGAACTTTCTTTACTACCATGTTTGAAAATCTGTTGATACCAATATATGATAGCACTATGAGTTTTATTTGATTAGGTATCTTTCTTTTCAATATAAATACGTGTTGAATATTAGTTAATCGAGTCTCTTGTAGCACCTTATGGGATTGAATCTATTATCAGGTTCTTTTTTATAGAAATTCATTGTTCGATAATGATATGGAACGATCGATCAATGAATCATGTTCATGGTTAAACTTCTGTTCTTGAAATCTTAAGTCTTTTCAATGGGGATGTTGCAGTTGGGATTTGAGCATTGGGATTGAAAGCTACAAATTCCTAATTGCTTTTGATTCCCATGAAAGTTTTGAATTTTATTTTGTTTTATTCTGATTTATTCCATGAATGTTAAGTTGATACAGGGAATTTGGGCTGCTACTCAAGTCCGTCAATAGACTTATAATGTTTTATTGTGTGGTAGACCTTAAAAAAGTGAGTGTGTGCGCCGTTTCGTGATACTTTTTCTTTGCCAAGCAAAGAATATTAGCAACTCGAGGTTAGCCTGTTTAATTAAGTCAAGTTTTGAGAGTTCAAATTTGAGCTTATCGAATTTATGTTTTAAAAATGAGTTTAAAAATTTATTTAAATACGATTTTTTTTAGAATTCGAGTTTGAGTTCAAATAATTCGATTATTTTATATATAAATTAGTTGAATTTTGTGAGTTTGAATTTAGTTTTTTAATGTTTGGTTTTTTAAATGAATTTAAAAAATTACTTTTATTTAATTGTTTAGAGTATGAGCTGAATTTTGATTTGAGTTTTATTCGAACTGAGTCAAGACCAGTCGAATGCTCATCTCGGTTAACACTCTAAATAAGACCCTCGAAAGATGAATAATCTGCTCTGTAGAGTCTTTTCTAAGCTAAATATAGCTGTATTCCAATTTCCACTTGGTCATGCCACGCACTCACCTATTTCTCTTTAATGAGGGCCTCTTTGGGGACACTTTAAGTGGGTGAGTGTTTGGTGACAAGTTTGACAATGGATAATAGCGTTGCTTGTTGGCTGTTTTTGTAGATTGCTTAGTGGTAGTGGTAGTGGTAGTGGGATTTTTGGGTTTAAATTGGTATATTGGAAGATGACGTTAATGACCGCTTAAGCCACGCATCATAAGTAAAAGTTTCTTGGGCATTGCAAATATTCTTTCACAATACCCATGTTGTAATAAAGATAAGTTTTGACATTCTGAATTCAAATTTTTGTAATTTTTTTAAGGTAGGCCATAAAAAATTTATTTTTCTTGCCTTTAATCGAATTAGAAAAAGATTCGTTAAAATACGCATAAATTAATCAAAATATTCTTGGTCATTGAATATAACAAAAATAGCCATGTTGTAGACGTTTCGGGGTTGCGAAAAGTTTCATTTATTTTATTTTTTAAATGTCAAACAAGTAGTTAAAGGTGGTGTTTTCAAAAAGTCGGTTCCCATGGATGGAGAAATTCCAATTCTTCTAGATTACATTAGGGTCCTCTCTAGTTATAGATTTCTGTAGTTCATTTAGTCCTAGAATATTCATTGCACTCGTTTGATTGATTACTATATTATAAAAGACAATTGTATTAACTAATACAGACTAATCTTAGAATATATACTTGAATTTTTGAGCAATTCAGAGATGTCTTACCCATTTTGATTTTTTTTTTTATAATTGTATGAAGTAATATAGCCTAATCTTAATATATATACTTGAATTTTTTGAGAAAATTAAGAGATGTCTTACCCATTTTAATTATTCCACGTCAATTCGTGGAAGTATATACATTACTAAAATATATACATATTTTGAGTTTGAATCTTGATAATTTTTTTTAAGGTCAGGTCACGATAAATTTATCATTCATGAATATCTTAATTTTAACCTGAATAATCTATTTTTAATTTAATTAAAAATAAAATTAATCAAGATACGCGTAAATTAATTTGAATGCACAACCGTTTAAATAAAAAAAAATTGAATTTATGATCAGGGCACTCAACAGTTGTGTGGTGCGGAACTTATTCAATGCAGCAGTACTACTTCACAAAACCAATGGCCCATAGGAGGACACAACGGCATGTGCGTGGGAGGACACCTTTTTTTTCTTGGCGCCGTAGGTGATCTTTGGTGTCAATAGTATTACCACCTTTTTTCTGTACCAAGTTCAATTTGCAGCATAGAAAAATGAAGGGTGAATAACACTGCACCTCCCATTTTGGGACCCACGTTAATTCTGACTTTTCTCCTTTAAAAGTCCAAAAGAAAATTTGTTTGCCAACTAATCGTTCGTGATAATTTGGATGATAGAATTTCGATAGTTAATATTATAAGATTTTTGTTTTTTGATTATAGGGTGTCTGGATTTATACTGACTATTTTTTTGAATTCAACGACTAGTTGCTGTGACTTTAATTGAGTTAGAGTATGTCCCTAAAGAGATGAGGGTGACTAACCCTTAAAGAGTGTGAGAAGGGATTAAACTTGAAATATCTGAGCAATTAAAGATTAAACTCGACTACTAAATCACCCTTAAAGTTTAATATTACAAGATCTTAAGTTCAAGTTTAGTAAACAATATTGTAAAAACTAATGTGCATGATTTACGGGTCATTATAGGTTGGATACATGAGAGGATACGAAAACAACTTATGATTGCTATACTTATCAAATTTAATTTCACTTACCGAATCAATATGAATTATTGGGTCAGCTCGTGTTATTAACTTTGTTTTCGTAAGACCGACTAATTCAATAATTCACATTTTCTTAATAAATAATTTTTCATAGATTTCTTTTTATTTTGATCTACACATCATTTTGCCAAAAGAAATAGCATGTGAGAGATCAAGACATGGGGCCCGGAATTAAACAAGTCATAACAGTGTTTTAGAACATGTCTAAGTCGGATGTATATGAAAAAAGAAATTGATTTGGGGCAGGTTTGGACTGGCTGTTAACCAATGGGGGTGTCTGGGTAGGTTAGTAATTACATAATCTTAGGTTGACTTTTTGTCTTCATTGATTAGACACACTTTTGTCAATTCCGTTGTCTTTGAAAAATCTAACATTTCTTATTCATTATTCAAGAAGGGTACTCATGGGTAGGCCAAAAAAATGTACCAACTCTGAGGAAGGGGGTGTGGGGGCGGCAGCGAGGGCAGTTTTCCACGGACTTTTCACAAACAGTTGGCGTGCAACTTTGGGCGAGTCACAACCGGTTCGAGTTTAGAGGTCCACCACGAGGATGTATAGGTTCTTCATAATTTGTCGGGGGAATTACACTTTGCACCTGAAAAGATTTTAAGATTCTCATTTTATATTTTTAAAGATTAGATTTTTTATATTATAATCTCAACTTATCAAAAATGTTGTAATGTGATTATTCTGTAAATTTTTTGTTAGTTTTTCAATCAATGTCAATGAACTGATTTTTGACAGAAAAAAAATAACAGGAGCTAATAAAAGATTCACATTGTAATACTTCTGATATATTAATGGTGCAATATAAACAAAATTAATCTTTGAAAGTATAAAATAAAAATATTAAATCTATCAAGGTATAAAGTACAAAAAATCCTAATTTTTCTAAAATTTGGGTGAAATTCACAATTCTACAATGAGAATCGTGATGTCAACAATACCAATGTTTTGTTTCGTGTATATCGAGCAATGGATAGAGGCCTCAGGATTCACATAGAAAGGTGCAACTTGTATAGGTAGGGTATTTTAGAGCCTAATATGAAAGTTTTTTTATATTCGTACAAATATTTGAAGTATTTTGGGTTATACAAAAAATTCCAATTCCATTTTTTAGAGTACTCAGTTGATGTCTCCACCTAAACTCAATAATCAGTANTTTTAGAGCCTAATATGAAAGTTTTTTTATATTCGTACAAATATTTGAAGTATTTTGGGTTATACAAAAAATTCCAATTCCATTTTTTAGAGTACTCAGTTGACGACGTCTCCACCTAAACTCAATAATCAGTAAATTCAAATTCAACTTAGTTGAACTTGATTCTAGCTCAATCTCTAAACCAAGTTGTCTAACTTGATATTAAATTCTAATAGAGCCCAAATAATAGCTTTTTTTTTAATAGGGTCTGATTTATAGTTCGAGTTAGATAATTTGAGAATCAAATTTGATTTCAACTAAGATACTAATTTGTGTTGAATGCGAGTTCAAAAATTTAAGGATCGGTAGTGGTTAATTCAAAAGGTTTGTGTTGAATCCAACTTTTGATTAAGTCGTGAATTTATATCTCATTTTGTCTAGAATTGCATTCTAGAGTTAGACGATGATGCAATCGTTTATTGACCACACAATCCCACTATGTATATGTGGTTTTAGCGTAAATTTTCTTTATTAGAAAGCAAGGTAATATGTTGTTTAGAAATAAGACAGTCGTTCAATTTGTTGTACCTTCGAACACTTTTTTCCAAAGAGAAAAGAAAAAGGTGCCGGCAAATTAGACCGCAATGGTTGCTCATGTCTCTCTCTCTCTCTCTCTCTCTCACACACACACACAGGGGCATCTACGACTCTATAACGAAAACACATACATTCATGGTGCATAGTGGAGTTCCCTATACTTTGCATTTGTTCATTTTTGGCATACATACAGATTTTTTCCAATACACCCGTAGTGAAACCTACTTTACCATCCTATATAACAAATAGTATAATGGCGAATAATTCAATATATATATATGAGTAATATTATTGGAATCTAATTCGCTGATCAAATTCACCGATCAAAGTCACCCTAATCTTTGAACTGACATTGAGTTCCATCAAATATTGAAATTTAGTGTTAATTGAATGATTATAATAGAATTACATCATTAGGTCAATAAATTAAATTAAAATTTTAAATCCCAATAATATTACTCTGTCTCTCTCTCTCTATATATATATATGCACTTGAATATGAAGAAAAGCAAGAGAAAAGATGTTTAACTACCACCATCAAGGCATAAGCTTGGCTGGAATCCAACAAATTATGNTACATCATTAGGTCAATAAATTAAATTAAAATTTTAAATCCCAATAATATTACTCTCTCTCTCTCTCTCGCTCTCTCTCTCTCTCTCTATATATATATATATATGCACTTGAATATGAAGAAAAGCAAGAGAAAAGATGTTTAATTACCACCATCAAGGCATAAGCTTGGCTGGAATCCAACAAATTATGACTTTCCATTCAAATGTATTGGTTGTTTGTCGTAAAGAAATGTTAATGTTGTCCCTTGGGGAGAAACTTCCACCAAGGAAAATTAGTCAACAAAGAATCTATAGTGTCCATTGCCAATGTTTAATCCTCATATAGGTTTAAAGGGTGTCTTCAACTTTAACAATGGAAGAATAATCTAGTTAGATATTCTTACACAAGCAGCGCCGGGCCCAATAGGGAGACAACTTAAATGTTTACATAAGGTCCTCAAAAAAAAGGAGTCTTGAAAAACGTTATGGTCTTTGAGAATTAATATGGTAGATGACCTAAAAAATTTAATATGTATGGGCCCAATTAAATATATATCATAGAAAAAAAAACCCATGCAAAACAAAAAAATTCAACCATTTATCTCCTTTTAATAAATAATTTACTCGTCAGTTTTTAGGAACTCTCTTTCTCTCTCTTACCCGTTAAAAAATCATAGGTAGGCATCTTTCTATGTAGAAAGAAGTTTTTCAAAATTAAAACTTATAAAATCTTNTCATAGAAAAAAAAACCCATGCAAAACAAAAAAATTCAACCATTTATCTCCTTTTAATAAATAATTTACTCGTCAGTTTTTAGGAACTCTCTTTCTCTCTCTTACCCGTTAAAAAACCATAGGTAGGCATCTTTCTATGTAGAAAGAAGTTTTTCAAAATTAAAACTTATAAAATCTTATTTACGATTAACTATATTACAAAAAGATTGAATGGATTAGTCATATTATCCATTAAAAATGATATATTAGTGAAACTTAAATGTAAAATCTTAATCACTAAATTTGCGTCTTAAAAAGTAAGAAGAATGATTTTTAGGTAAAACGTTAATCATATAATACATTTATAATAAATTTTAAAAGAGAAAATTTCTGCATAGGGCACCCATTTAAATCGAGTCGGCCCTATACACAACTTTGTCCTCAAGGCATAAGTGCACAATCGAAAGTAGGGAAATACGAAGAAATCATCGTTATAAGTGTAAAGAACAATAACAACTCTGAATCTACATATAATAACATAAAAAAATAGTAACATTTAAATACAAAAAATAGTACTATTCAAACAGAAAAAAATAGTACCATTTAAACATAAAAAATAATAATATTCAAAAATAAAAAAAATTAATATTGAATATTAATATTTGAGAAAACAACAATAGTAACATGCTTAATACAGTAATATGAACAGTAACATGGTAAAAAAATTTATATATATATATAAATATTTATTGGCATATTTTCATTGATAGTGAATTAAAGTATAATAATTTTCAAGTTAGAAAATTAATTTAAAGTTATTTTCAATGAAGAGTATTTCAAAGTTTTAAAAAAATAGTGAACTTAATTACTATTAGTAAGATTAAAAATAAACTTATCTGTAAATAAGTTTATTTGACTGACTAAACTCATTATAAATTCTTTAAGAATGACTCAGTCCAATTTTTACTTTATTATTTTATGATTTATCATTTTGAGGAATAAAATTGACTTACCTCACTTTCTTCCCTCCGCTATTTTGCCAAACTTGAATATTTACCTTCCCATTTCCTTAGATATCATTTCCAACTGTGACGGAGGGAAGAAGTTGGTTTTGACATAAATAGTATAGAGATATGCTTTATCCCGTTTTGGAAAAGTAAATATACCATGCAGCATTACTCTTCAAATAAATAGAAAAGAAAAAGTTTGACTCTCTAAATGTAGAGAATCAAATTACACTCTTTATTTTAAAAAACTTAAATAAAGAATCTATTGGTGATGAAATTTTGACGTTGACTCTCTAAAGTAGAGAATTTAGTGACAATAAATAGTCTATTGGAGATAGCTCTTAAAAATCCATTATCAACGATATGATTAAACATAATTATTTGTCGGCAAAATTGCAAGGGGTACACTATATTGGAGTTAATTGTAAAAAAATACACAGAAAAAAATATAGAATAAAAAAGTCCTTAATTTTGATACTTATTTATTTTCAATTACATTATTTGAAATTTTCATATTTTTTTTGACCTTTATATCCTTCTTTGATCCAAGCGTATTATTTTTGAAAAATGGTGCATTAAACATCTCCTAGTTTTATGAGAGAACTTTAATATTTTTGTATTTTTATGTCCTCCTTTGATTCATGTATATTTTTTTTAGAAAGTGATTTTGTTTTCAAATTATATTTAATGCACCTTGATTTATTCGTATTTTTTGTGGAAAGTGATTTTGTTTTTAAATAATATTAATATCCGAACTCCATAACAGTGTATATTACATTTTGTCAAAACATATATTTTTATACAATTTTATTCAAAACAGTTCATCTTTGTTTTGAATTTGTTATCATATACACAAAATCACTGAACACTGTTTTTGTTACACTATTGCTTAATAAATTTGTTACTTTTTTTTAACAATATAAATAATTTTATATTTCAAATTATATAAAAAAACAATTAATAAATTTTGAAATTCAAACAAAGTTATATATCCTAAAATAAATGGAATATTAAAATTCTTCCATAAAATTAGGAGATATTTAATGCATAAATATAATTTGAAAACAAACTACTTTCCAAAAAAAAATAAAATATGCATGAATCAAGATACACTAGAGATTTCGAATTAAATGACCCTAAATTTCAGCGTTTAAGATAAATGTCTTGTTACGGTTTTTAGTAAAGAAAATTTTACAAAATAGGCATTTATGTTTTTGTATCTCAGTTGTGTACTTTTTTTCAACACATTTTATTCTGTATATTTTTTTAAAATTATGTTTAATTTGGTGTACCAATTTCTAAAGGACCCTTATTTGTCAGATTCTAGGCCCAACTAGTTTGTAATTTAGTTGGGGTTAGCATTTTGGGTTATCCGAATTGAGATTGGATTGGTAGCGACGAACAAGCAGGGGTAGCCATTGGTATGGACCGGGCTAGATTATTCTTGGGCCAAAAAATTTATGATCTACCATTTTATTGGCTATAATATAATTTATCAACATAGAATATTCTAGTTGGTCAACTTCATGATCCGTTCTTGGACCTCAAGATTGCGAGTTTAAATCTCGTCGTCCACTCCCTTTGCAATAGTGCATGAACAAACGTAAAAAAAAAAAAAAACTTAATGGTCAAAACTCAAAACTTTAATAAAGCAGTTTTAACGATCCTTGCAGTATTAGGGCTTTTAGTTATTGTTCTTGAGGGATGACCCGATCTGGCCCATTCCTAGGAAGAAGTTTGTTGGGTCAGGCAATGATTCTTGGGCCAGGGGCTCACCCAGCTATGGACAACCTTAATAAGTAAAGGTTAATCCATATCATTTCAGACTTGCGCCTGTTTTACTCCGTTGAATTGTACTGAAGAAAAATCCTCTTATTTTCCTCCCTCAATTATCATATTTTTGACATTATATTTTTAATCATACTATTAATTTTATATTAGTTTAGTTATCAATGTCTATCATAAATTTTATTGAAATTATTTTTTTTATCGATAAATTATTTATTTTGTTTTACTTTGTCACAAATATGTTAACAATTTTGTTCTAAAAGATACCAAAAAATGGCATTTGGGATAATATAAAATTGATTCAAGTAATTTAAAAAAATTGATAATTTAAGGGATACAGTGAATTTTTTTCAAAACATTATTAACATGGAGGGAGATAAAGCTCGAACCTTTTCAGGTTAAGTGCTATTATACAAGGTGGTCAAGGGGTTAACTTAGGATTGGAGCTTGGTTCAAAGATTATAGACAATTATGGGTACCTCTTGGGTGAGTTTAGCAGCTTGGATGATCTCAGTATCTGTGATATTGAATGATGGCAAAAAAGAGAACTATATTTCTCGCTCTATCAAGTGGATGGTCCTTTGGTCTTCGTTTGTTATTGGTAATGGGTAGTTGCTAATTTCTTGCTATTTTGTTGTTACATTACATTTGCAGGTTATGGTTGTAGCCTTGTAGGGTTAATCTCCTATACATATAAGTTGCGAACTATCCCTAAAATTACTGTAAGACTGGTAATAGATGAGTTTCTTACTGTTGAAATAAGTAATATGTGATATATATTTCTTAAAGTGATTTTGACTAGTGATTATTTCTGTTCCCTTGGCATTAGTTTTCTTGTTGTGTAAGAGAACTAATGGTGGAAATGGGTCGTCCACTGGTAAGATGCTAACAGGTGGCGATGAATTCTTTACAGAGGGAACACCAATGGAAGAAAAGAAAAAGCATAAGAATTGCATCATGAGTTTGTAAATGAAACATTGTGTTCTCCCTTCTTTTTCGAAGATGGTGGAGAGAGCGTCCAAGATGTGTCCACTTTATAAAAGATTGGGTCCTCTCTCTTTCAAAGGCCTATATCTCAACATATTTACATTACACATTAAGCTTACTATGGCGTTGATACTAAGAGCAATGAGCTGAATGGCCACAGAACAGAGTATGCAAAACTAATCATATCAGGGAACTGTGATGTTACTCAGCATATTGGCTACTGCATGTATGTTCTTGAAGATCATGATGTGTACAGCCACTTTAGGCTCAGGAGAAGCAGCACTCCCTTGGAAGTATAAATGGGTTTGAAAGGTGAAATAATATAATAGTTTGTGTTTTGTTTGAGGTTTTCTCATAATGGTGGTCTGTAGGAGAGGTCTTGAAACTGACTTAGTCTTAAGTGGTGCAGATTTGGCATCCAGAAGTTTGTGCTATTGTTGATGTAGGTTTGAGAGAACATTATTTGCCATTTTTTCATGTTGCAGATATCACATGTAATGAACCTAATCAGATATTGATCCATTTCCTTTTTACCTTATTTATTTTGTCTTATATTGCTTTGAATTTCTGGAAAGCATTGTGTTATGAACATACCGCACTTACAGTGATTCATCTTTTAAATCTTAAGTTTGTTATATGATATGACAGATATCATACAGAACTACATTGCCAACAAGGGAAATTTGTTTGTGGTAAGAACTTAACAATGGGTCAATCGCATACTTTGGGCACAAGACAGAGAACAATCCAAAAAAGATGATCTCATCCGTGTATTGTACCCGCTCATAATTTCTTTCTATCACTCACTGGTAATTTAGGTGACTAAGAATGAAGCATGGACTTGCGTTCCTTACTGGATTGTTGCACAGTTTCTTTCCTTCTTGTTTTTTCAGTATAGCCGGTTCTAAAGTGATTGTGTTACCAGTTGAGGCCATGCATGTCTATGCACACATCACTTTTTCTTTGATGTAATTCTTCAACCTCTTACACTAAGATCTATCAGTCTGTTTGCGCTACTGAATTTTAACTTTTTATAGAGTGTGTCAAAGATGGATCTAGTGACACTTTACTCTCTTTGGCCAGTTATATTAGTAAAGAGAGCTTGTATCCCAAATCAAATGATTAGAATCACTCAAGATTGGTTTATATGCTGGGGGGGCCTCTCCACTCATTGCCAATTGGTTGTGCGTTGGATGTTCTAACAATATCAAGTTAATCTATATTGATAAGAATGGTCAGCTGGAATGTAGGTAGAGAATGCATTCAGGTTAGTATCGAGCATGGACTGCTTTGATGGCTCGATTATCAATTTATGACTGTGGTTAATTAAATTCGAGTTCTATGTTAATCTTGCATGAATATTGCAATGGTATGGCAAGAGTAGCGGACATGCTGTGTGGAAGACCCCATCAACTTCCTTTATGGCGTCGTCTAAGCTTCCATGCACCAACAGATGGATCAGCTTTCACAATCTTCAGTCTCTCCTTTGCTCCATCCAGCTTCCAGAGGAAGCCTACTGTTTCTGCATTTTCTAGTGAAATTCGGGCTAAGATAAGCAATTTGAGATTATACCGAAACATTACATTTTGCCCTAAGAAGCAATATCGCATGTTTTTGGTAAACTATAAAAACTATTCTGCCATGTTTATACTGGCGTATGACTACAAAAATTTCTCTCTCCCTCCCCTGTTTTATAAGGTCTATGGGGTTACTGCAGTCATGCTTCCCCTTTCCTTAGACCCTCATGATTTGAGAGTAGGACAGGACTTTGTTTTTGATCTTTCTTAAGATTAAGAGCGTTAATTGTCACCCAAAAAAGAGTTAATTTGAAAATTCTTTATTACTATTGGTAACATTGAATTTTTAGACACTTCTTTGTAGATCCGAGACTTCCCCAACACATTCAAAAGGAAGTAGTAGGGCCTGTTTAGTTTACATCTCAAAAATAATATCTAGAAACTATTTTTGAGAAGAGTTTGAAGAAAGTGTTTTTAAAAATTTTTAGATTGTAAATTTTGTTTGGTTATATACTTTTGAAAATAATTTTAAAGAACAAAAATTATAAAATTTATTTAGACAATAATCTACAATTTCCACCTTTCTTCAACTCCCTATCTCTCTCTCTTTCATTGTGCATCAAGACCACCACCGAAACCCACAAAGCACCGAAACCGACAATCACCAAAAACCCACAACCACCACCAAAACCCACAACCACTACTTGTGTCTTGGAACCCAAATGCAAAAAAAAAAAAAGACACTGGAAAGGACGGAGAAGATGTTGAAGATCGTCGGAGTTTTTGAACCCAAATTGTGAGTGTGTTCATTTGGATTTGTCGAAGTGGGAGAGAAATGGTCCGTGTTTTGTTTGGACAGTATCATTGCACAGAGAGAGAGAGAGAGAGAAAAAAAGTGGAGATAAAGAAACATACAAGTAAAAGATTTTTATACTTTAACAAAAAAAAATGCATTTTGATTCTAAGGAAGTTTGATGGGGTGAACCTCGTTAAAAATGAGAGATTGTTTCTCTTGTTTTCTATTTTAGCCTGAAAATTCAGAAAATATCATTTTGTTGTTCTCTAAAACTACATCTTGATTCCCAAAATTTTTAAAAAATTAGAGAACAAAAAAAACTAAACAAACAATATTTTTCTTGTTTTTAGAATTTTGAGAACAAAAAACTATTTTTGAAAACCAAATCAACCATGCCCGTAGTGTGTTGAAAATAATTCTTTGCATAGGCTTGAAAAGTATTCAGTTTCATGCTGTTCATAGTAGGTATATAGATGGAGAGACTGAATGTATCAATGACTATCAAACGGTACCTGGATTTCGCAAAGTACGTGCCCCTTTTCCAGCAGCAGCTTTACCAGGTAACCCGCTACCAACCCTGGACCCCCTGTAATGCAGTTTTCTGGCACCTCTCTCCCTCTCTCTCTCTAACACGCACACACATTTGTTCGATGGTGATATTAATGGTTCTTGAGAAAAAAGAGATCATCAATAAAGCCATGCAATTCACTATTTGTTGGCCATTTTGTGTGTTTATGGGTGGAAAGCATGTGGGCAAAGGAAGTTTGGTATGCAATATTAGGTGCTTTTGTTGGTTTTGTGTTTTTTTTTTTTTTTTTGGGGGGGATGTCATGTGGCTTGCATCTAAATCTCTTTTGTAGTTTTGGTGCACCTTGGTAACAATCGAAACTCGCTAAATTTGTTACCATTGGAGTACTTTGTATTTCTTCAAATTCTTACTCAAATTTGAGTGCTGGTTGGACATCACCCAAGTGATGCATATCTCCACGAATTTGTGCATTTGTTGATGTTTGGATTTGGAAAACATTATATAGGTTTCAATGCATTGCTAATAAAGGTTTTTTCATCGCGTACTTTAAAAGGATCCAAATCCCTTCAATACACTTTTTCTTAATTCGCCCAATAGTAGATTGCCCACCATATATTTGTGGGAGATCCACTTAAATATAGTGAGTTCTATTTAAATTCATAGCTAATGATCTATATTGAAGAAAATTATAAAACTATTAAGTTTATTCTTTCTATACCCATTCTACTAGTAACTAAGCTTATCTCATTTTATACCCACCCCACTAATGACTAAACTTATATCAATTTTCACCTATAAGGTTTTTTTTTCTATACCCCATCTCATACGGTCAACACGAAAATATATTTAATTATTTAGGATAAATCTCTAAAGTGATATTCAAATTGGTAATGGTTCTAAATTTATTTTATTTTGTTGCACGTGTTTTTTTTTTTTTTTTATCAATATCAATGATTTTATTCAAGTTTTATGTATAATATATATAAGGTTAAATATATCTATATAATAAAGTGTAATAAAATTTAAATATCAAACGATAAACAAAATGACATTTGTTATTTACGGTTAAAATCGTTTTAAATTTTACTTTAAAGTTAATCTAACAACAAATATTAACACATCAAATTTAATATAAAAAATAAACCCCTAAGAATATGTTTGAAATAATTTTTTAAAAGTATTTCTAAGAATATTTCTCATAAGTATTTGAAATAAAAAATAGTGTTTGAAACCGTCTCACTACTACTTTTAACACCACTATCCCCACTGCTCCACTACCACCATCACCACCCCCATCCCTAACACCATCACTATCGCCACCCTACCATACGCACTACCACCGCCGCTGTCACCACCATCACCACTTCCATTGCCCCACCACTACTGCACCCTACTATCATCACTACCGCTATCGCTCNCCCCCCCCCCGCCGCTGTCACCACCATCACCACTTCCATTGCCCCACCACTACTGCACCCTACTATCATCACTACCGCTATCGCTCCTTACCGCCTCTGTTACTGTCCCATCATTACCCCTACCACGCCCACTGTCNTTAAGAGCGTTAATTGTCACCCAAAAAAGAGTTAATTTGAAAATTCTTTATTACTATTGGTAACATTGAATTTTTAGACACTTCTTTGTAGATCCGAGACTTCCCCAACACATTCAAAAGGAAGTAGTAGGGCCTGTTTAGTTTACATCTCAAAAATAATATCTAGAAACTATTTTTGAGAAGAGTTTGAAGAAAGTGTTTTTAAAAATTTTTAGATTGTAAATTTTGTTTGGTTATATACTTTTGAAAATAATTTTAAAGAACAAAAATTATAAAATTTATTTAGACAATAATCTACAATTTCCACCTTTCTTCAACTCCCTATCTCTCTCTCTTTCATTGTGCATCAAGACCACCACCGAAACCCACAAAGCACCGAAACCGACAATCACCAAAAACCCACAACCACCACCAAAACCCACAACCACTACTTGTGTCTTGGAACCCAAATGCAANTTAAGAGCGTTAATTGTCACCCAAAAAAGAGTTAATTTGAAAATTCTTTATTACTACTGGTAATATTGAATTTTTAGACACTTCTTTGTAGATCCGAGACTTCCCGAACACATTCAAAAAAAAGTAATAGGGCCTGTTTAGTTTACATCTCAAAAATAGTATCTAGAAACTATTTTTGAGAAGAGTTTGAAGAAAGTGTTTTTAAAAATTTTTAAATTGTAAAATTTGTTTGTTTATATATTTTTGAAAATAATTTTAAAGAATAAAAATTATTAAATTTATTTAGACAATAATCTACAATTTCCACCTTTCTTCGACTCTCTATCTCTCTCTCTTTCACTGTGCATCAAGACCACCACCGAAACCCACAAAGCACCGAAACTGACAATCACCAAAAATCCACAACCACCACCAAAACCCACAACCACTACTTGTGTCTTGAACCCAAATGCAAAAAAAAAAAAGACACTGGAAAGGACGGAGAAGATGTTGAAGATCGTCGGAGTTTTTGAACCCAAATTGTGAGTGTGTTCATTTGGATTTGTCGAAGTGGGAGAGAAATGGTCTGTGTTTCGTTTGGACAGTATCGTTGCACAAAGAGAGAGAGAGAGAAAGAGAGAGAAAAAGTGGAGATTGAGAAATATACAAGTAAAGGATTTTTATACTTTAACAAAAAAAAATGCATTTTGATACTAAGGAAGTTTGATGGGGTGAACCTCGTTAAAAAGGAGAGATTGTTTATCTTGTTTTCTATTTTAGCCTGAAAACTCATAAAATATCATTTTATTGTTCTTTAAAACTACATCTCGATTCCCAAAATTTTTAAAAAATTAGAGAACAAAAAAAACTAAACAAACAATATTTTTCTTGTTTTTAGAATTTTGAGAACAAAAAACTATTTTTGAAAACCAAATCAACCATGCCCGTAGTGTGTTGAAAATAATTCTTTGCATAGGCTTGAAAAGTATTCAGTTTCATGCTGTTCATAGTAGGTATATAGATGGAGAGACTGAATGTATCAATGACTATCAAACGGTACCTGGATTTCGCAAAGTACGTGCCNATTTTTGAAAACCAAATCAACCATGCCCGTAGTGTGTTGAAAATAATTCTTTGCATAGGCTTGAAAAGTATTCAGTTTCATGCTGTTCATAGTACGTATATAGATGGAGAGACTGAATGTATCAATGACTATCAAACGGTACCTGGATTTCGCAAGGTACGTGTCCCTTTTCCAGCAGCAGCTTTACCAGGTAACCCGCTACCAACCCTGGACCCCCTGTAATGCAGTTTTCTGGCACCTCTCTCCCTCTCTCTCTCTAACACGCACACACATTTGTTCGATGGTGATATTAATGGTTTTTGAGAAAAAAGAGATCATCAATAAAGCCATGCAATTCACTATTTGTTGGCCATTTTGTNTGGACCCCCTGTAATGCAGTTTTCTGGCACCTCTCTCCCTCTCTCTCTCTAACACGGACACACATTTGTTCGATGGTGATATTAATGGTTCTTGAGAAAAAAGAGATCATCAATAAAGCCATGCAATTCACTATTTGTTGGCCATTTTGTGTGTTTATGGGTGGAAAGCATGTGGGCAAAGGAAGTTTGGTATGCAATATTAGGTGCTTTTGTTGGTTTTGTGTTTTTTTTTTTTTTTTTGGGGGGGATGTCATGTGGCTTGCATCTAAATCTCTTTTGTAGTTTTGGTGCACCTTGGTAACAATCGAAACTCGCTAAATTTGTTACCATTGGAGTACTTTGTATTTCTTCAAATTCTTACTCAAATTTGAGTGCTGGTTGGACATCACCCAAGTGATGCATATCTCCACGAATTTGTGCATTTGTTGATGTTTGGATTTGGAAAACATTATATAGGTTTCAATGCATTGCTAATAAAGGTTTTTTCATCGCGTACTTTAAAAGGATCCAAATCCCTTCAATACACTTTTTCTTAATTCGCCCAATAGTAGATTGCCCACCATATATTTGTGGGAGATCCACTTAAATATAGTGAGTTCTATTTNTGACAAGAAGTTGCAGGGACAAGAAAATTAATTCCGTCACGTTACAATGAGCTTACATGTTGTATCAAACTAAAAAATAATTAATATTTTGAAAGTGCAAAACCAAATATGTTCTTCGATTTAAAGATCGAAAAAAGTGGCTGATTTGTATGACTTANTTTAAATTCATAGCTAATGATCTATATTGAAGAAAATTATAAAACTATTAAGTTTATCCTTTCTATATCCATTCTACTAGTAACTAAGCTTATCTCATTTTATACCCACCCCACTAATGACTAAACTTATATCAATTTTCACCTATAAGGTTTTTTTTTCTATACCCCATCTCATACGGTCAACACGAAAATATATTTAATTATTTAGGATAAATCTCTAAAGTGATATTCAAATTGGTAATGATTCTAAATTTATTTTATTTTGTTGCACGTGTTTTTTTTTTTTTTTATCAATATCAATGATTTTATTCAAGTTTTATGTATAATACATATAAGGTTAAATATATCTATATAATAAAGTGTAATAAAATTTAAATATCAAACGATAAATAAAATGACATTTGTTATTTACGGTTGAGATCGTTTTAAATTTTACTTTAAAGTTAATCTAACAACTAATATTAACACCTCAAATTTAATATAAAAAATAAACCCCTAAGAGTATGTTTGAAATAATTTTTTAAAAGTATTTCTCATAAGTACTTGAAATAAAAAATAGTGTTTGAAACCGTCTCACTACTACCTTTAACACCACTATCCCCACTGCTCCACCACCACCACCACCATCACCACCCCCATCCCTAACACCATCACTATCGCCACCCTACCATACGCACCACCACCGCCACTGTCACCACCATCACCACTTCCATTGCCCCACCGCTGCTGCACCCTACCATCATCATTACCGCTGTCGCTCCTTACCGCCTCTGTTACTGTCCCATCATCACCTCTACCACGCCCACTGTCTCACCCCTACCCCCATGACCATCACAATTACCACCATCATCGCCAACCCACCAATACCCCACTTACTACCCCACCTCTACCCCACCCTACCCTCACTGCCCCATCGCCGCCACCACCACCACTACCACTATCACCAGCTACTATCATCGTCATCTTATTCTTATACTTATTATCATTACCATCATCATCCCACTACCACCATCGCCCACCGTCAGCACCCACCACCACCCATCGCCACCAGCCACTACGACCTATCCCACCACACCTACCACCACTAACAACCACCACCTATTATCGCCACCCACTATCACTTACCCTTACCACGCTTATCACCGCCACAATTCGCCGCCACCCATTATACTGTCGTCCAGAAACACCTATCGTCGCCCATCACCGCCATCGTCATTGCCCATCACCACCACTGTTAACCACCATCACCGTCATCCACTACCACCCACACCCACCACCACCATTATTACCGTTGTTACCCATGGTTGTCACTACCATCATCGTCACTCAAAATCCACCATCACCATTAACATTGCCACCCACGGCTGCTATTACCACCACGATCGTCGCCTTATCCACCCCAACCATCATTGTCTCCCATCATCACTACTGTCGCCCACCACCACTACCACTGCTCACTCCCACTACAATTAGTGCTTAAATTTTTTTATCTCTCATTTGTGTTTGTAAATTGCATTTTGAGTGTGAATATAAATATGTTGACCATTTTTTTACTATTTCGTGCCTTCAGGCATGAGGAATAACTAGTATGTATATATACAACTATACAAACTTAACTTAATATCTCTTTTTTGAAGAGAAATTCACACAAAATGTTTAGTTTATAAAAAGTATTTAAGTGAAGGTTTATCCGTTTTTGTTTGTTAAGAGTCAAATATAACCTATTTTGTATATTTTATCCATAATTTAATTGTTAATATCATGACACATTAAAACATAACTAAGAAGAACTCAAACATTGCACGTGGTAAGTTTAGTCTTTAATGGGGTGGACTTAGTCATTTGTGGGGTGGACACAGTAGTGGTGGACTTGGTAGTTTTATAATTGATAGTTTAATGGGGGTGAGAAAAGATATTTGTAGGGTAAAAATAGCTCCACCCAAAAATCTATTAGATGAGTTTCAAATCTTATTTTAAACAACTATAGGGGGAACTCCAAACCTAGATTGCAATCATAAGCTTTAATCTATTTGCTGAATTTGATAGATTTGCAGAGCATACCAATTGTGCAAACTTATTTACTTCCTCTTTGTGGCAAGAAATATATCTGTGGATCAAGCCTGTGCATGTATTGTATGGCAGAGAACAAATGCACAAAAAGATGATTATAATTCATACCTGTATGCTATACCCGTGGCTCTCTATTTTTCAATAACTGATACTAATGAAGCATTGACTTGAGTTCCCTAAGCAGTTAAAAATGTTTCGTTTGACTAGAACAGACAATATACAGCACAGTTTTTAGAAAGTTTTGGTGCAAAGACATCACCTACAACTCAATATAATATTGAATTTTCTTTTCCCAATTGCCGGAACATTCATATAAGTCTGCTCCATATGTTTTTAGTTTGTACAACACAATCTAATAATGTAGAAAACTACAGCCCAATTAGCTGAATGAACTTGCAGAAGATACGTTGACCTTCAAAGAAATCCCTTCTGTTGGAAACTTTTGATGCAGTCATCAAACATTTGATCAAGTGTTGTTAAAGCCGGGAGACCCAGCTGAAGAATCTTGCTGCTGCCTATGCTATGTGGGTTGTTGTCTCCTTCTTGACTGCTGCACCTGAAAAGGATAACCAAGGTACACTTACAAGCATCCAATTTAGGAACAAGTTATGGGGCTGCTTAGCAGCTCAATTGCAATTTGATTCTGTAACTGCTGTTTTTTTTTTATCACCTAAAAAATGTAGTGAAGGTCAAATAATAGAAACTACATTTTTTTTCTTACTTGTCTTCATATGGATAAATTGGATATTTGGTCTTTAGCATCTCAATGATCTCTGACCAATGTGCTACTGTGCTTGAACATATAAGCCTGCCTGATGCTTTACTTTCCTCCATTGCTAATATATGTGCATCCACTACATCATCTACATGCACAAACCCTCCTCTTACGTTTGGGTAGTCTCCTCTTACACCTGACAAGAAGTTGCAGGGACAAGAAAATTAATTCCGTCACGTTACAATGAGCTTACATGTTGTATCAAACTAAAAAATAATTAATATTTTGAAAGTGCAAAACCAAATATGTTCTTCGATTTAAAGATCGAAAAAAGTGGCTGATTTGTATGACTTAATGTTATTATGTTGCCCGATAAATACCAAACCAAAGTAAAAACTATTAGGTTTACTATCTTTACCTCAAAATCATATACTAAAATTATTTTGCTGTCTCCTAGTATATCTACGATAAAAGCACACAGATTTTCGTTTTTCTAAATTCACTTTCATATATTGAAATAGAAAATAGATTTAAAATAAAAAAAGGGAGAATGCAATAATCTATGATCAAATACTATTATGCAATTTATCATTCATATATTTAAAACTAATTTGAAACTACAAGTCCATAAATTGAGCTCATTAAGATCCAGGAAACATTTGTTATTTTTTTTTTTTTTGTGGACTTGGTGTAGGATGATTTGTTTGGCGGTCACATGGTGGTCGATTTGGGTATTGAATCTTAAATGCTTCTTGGAAAGTCAGTGAGGATTTCTCCAACCAGGCAGTTTAAGGGAATAGGTAAGCATAACCTGCATAATAGAAATTATATGTATGGGCATTGTTGTTTTGATAAAATCTTAAAAACGATTATCGTTGAGTGTGTATTGCATTGAATGATAACTTCAAATTTTTACGACTTCTGAGTGCAAATTATGTAAGTGATATGAGTGTATCCATCACTGCTTCAAGAGTAACATTTTTCTTTTTCATCTGATAGTTGAGTATAGTATTTGAATCTTGGGTTATCTGGTTGAATTTGGCTACTTTTCTCTTCCTCAACTTCCCTTAGGGAAAAAATTGAATAATGTTTCATTTGGTATGATGAAAAAATGGAAGGATGAAAAGTTGGAGGGATAGATAAAACATCATGTTTGATAAGGAAGGAAAATAGGAAAAATGAAAAAGTGGTGAATTAACTTTCCTTCCAACTCACTAAAATCAATCCCTCTAAAATCGAAAGGAAAGTGGATGATTTGTGTTGAAATGTATCTTGTTTGTTTATATATTATGTATATATTAATTTAATATAAAAATACAATGATAAAATATGTATTTATATATATATATATATATATATATATATATTTTTTTTTTTAAAAATAAAAATTAAAAAAATAAAAATTAAAAATTTTATGACTCAACACAAATTTAACACGACACGACTCGATTGTCACCCCTAGTCTTAGTAAGCACAAAAAAAATTAAAAAAAAATTAGTAATTTTTATTTTCTATCCATTCAACCAAACACAAAGAAAGGAAAGTGTATCATTTCTACTTTCTATCTTTAAATAATAGAAAATATATACCTACTACTTTCCATCCTCCCTATCAAACGGAGCATAAGGATATCAAACACACATTATCTGAGAACTACTAAATACATTCACCTTTGACTCATAATTGCATTAACAACAATTCCATAGTTACCAATTAAGGTTCATCTATCCCTGCACAATAGTACATGGCTGTTGGTTTTGCTCTCTCTGTGAAGGAGGCTTTTTCCACTTAATGAAAAGGAATAATACTTTTTTTCCATTTAAGCAATTACTGAGTTTCACTTGAACGCTAATTTTCTTTTAAGAAAATTGTGTTTCCTATCAAAAAAAAATTTAGTGGAAAGAGTCACCGCACCGTCCATATGGTGATATGGCTTATTATGATCTCCAATAGTAGAAATTATTAGGAAACACATCAGCCTTGCCCATGCATGATGGTGTTTTAAAAAAATCATCTAGACAATAATGAAAATGTCACCTTTGATGATGGTCAGTATTTCTCGCAATGAACTGGTTGGTTGGGGCGTAAGCAAGGGACCAACTACAAAAGAGGGGATCACAACCACTAGATTTATCCCACTTTCTTCTGCTACTCTCCATGCCTCTTTCTCTGCTATTGTCTTTGCATATGGATACCATAGCTGCAAGCAAGAATTCCGATTAGGAATTTTAGCATCTACAAAATTTGGATGCTTCGTAAACTTATGCATATGCTTTTAAACATAACTATGTTGTTTTCAGAAACATAACAAAGCTGGAAGTCTTGTTACATTGTGGCGTTTACAATACTCGGTATCACTCCAGTGGGATTCATTAAGAGGAGAAACTTGTTGGACGTCTGCACGACATCTTAAGCAAGAGGAGGACGAGGTAAGCACAACCCTTTTCACACTGCTTGCTTTCTTGCAAGAGGTCAACACGTTCAAGGTGCCCTTTATGATAGGATCAACCACTTTTGCCTGCAATGTTAGCAGTTACATTCAGATTTTGTATGATATGCAGAAGTTGGGAAAAAACACCCTTACTGAAATAAACGAAAAGTTAAAGTCTGCTGAATAGAATCATTTACAGAGTATTTTCACCAACACAAATTATCCATCATATCAACCAGGTGGCAATGAGCTGGGCAATGTTCTGTAAAGAAACCACCGTTCAATTCCACTCGCGCAAGGGCCCACAGCATTTTTTGCGCATTAGGCCATTAAGCTTTCTTTATGCATCATAGTAGAAAGGCCATACAATCAAACAAACCCAAAATGCAGATTCCAACTCTTTAAGTTAATATTATGTAGACAGCACAAAGATTGCCTGCTTCGATCTATTTGGCCAACTATAGTAAGGTCAATCAAAATTGTAAAGTATGTCCAACTGGTGTGTGGATACGAGGCATTCAGGTTTGACTAATCAATGATTCAACTACGTGATTATCATTATTTATCTACAGGGGCACTATGTCAGTCCTGCCTGAACGTCGTGATCGTATGGCACGAACACTGGAGATGCAGTGTGGAAGACTCCCTCAACTCCTTGTATGGCCTGGTCAAAGCTTCCTTCCTCCAACAGATCAGCTTTTATAAGCTTCAGTCTCTCCTTGGCTCCATTCAGTTCCCAGAGGAAGCCTACTTTTTCTGCATTTTCTGGTCAATTGGAGAGAAAGGTACCATGTATCACAACGTACATATAAATATAACAGTATATATTGCCCAAACCAATATAAATATCATTTCAACTCAATTATCATTTTGTGTGATGCGTGTTTACAATGAAAAAATAAAAAAAATGGTAATGTGTGTATTGTTTTTTAATTTTAATTAAAATGTATTATAAGATGCGTATTACGTATCGTATGATACAATGAAAAAATAATATAACAATGTGTTATGTATAATTCTATTCTCATATCAAAATGTAAGATATATATCATGTATCTTATAATACTAATAATTGTACACAAATATCGTTTTGTCTAGTTTAATAATGCATTCTAGATATACCTTTGGTGGATTAGTAATGCTATCGGTATAAAAAAATTGACTTAATTTATTAACATAATGATGTAATAAATAATAAAATTCTAATGAAAAAAATCTAACAGTTACCGACAATTCTAATGATCATTTTTGCAAATATCGTTAACAGAGCTAACGGTGCAAGTTGGTCCACATGTTGATCTATTTGAATGATAGAAAGTGAAGTACATTGGGGTATAACATCGGAATTTGCCCTACTATGTATGACTCTTAGGACATCTGATTGTTAACTAAGTTTTTATTTTATTTTTTTGCAGATATCTGGAAAAGGGCAAAAAGAAGGTCTAACCGTCCAATTGATTCAATTTGGTGGTGTTTGATCAAAAAAATAAATAAATTGGTGGTGGGTTTTCTAATATTTCAAGTGTTTCTTTCCTTAATTAGAGACTCATCACAATAATTTTGTCAGTACAATGACAAAAAAATAAATAAGAGAAATAAAAAAAATCAAAACACAATTTATAACACTAAAATTTACGTGATTCGATAAAATTATTTTGTTTATGTTTATGAAGTGTGATCCGGTCTTCTTTTTTGACTATTGAGAATAAATAGATACAATAGTACCAACTTTACAACTCAAGTTTAACTCTCAAATCTCAGCCTTCAGCCCTTAGTCCCTTGTATAATCCATTTAACATTACTCTCTCAAATCTTTAATAAAGAAAACTTATCGTATTCTCAACAAGAGAATAAAAATTGAATTATTTATAGGCATCTCAAGGTAGTGGCAAATGAATTATTTTGTATTTAAGCAATGCATTTGATTGTTAAATTTTTATATCCTCGAATAAAATTTTAACAAAGATGTTATTTAACCAATTACAAATGAACTCTCATCTCATTCAAATAATGAAATTTCTCAATTTGAATCGTGTAATAAGATTTTAGCGAGTTTTATGATCCCACCGGTGAGGGTCCAACAAGTGGTCGCTAGGCGCTTTTTTTTGTCTCCACTTTTTTATTTTGATCAAGAAAAAAAAAATCTTTTTAGCAATGATGTCACATAATCAATTAAAACATGTCTTTTTAACAATGATGTTATCCAACCAATTAAAACAAAAAATTGAGTTTATTAAGTTATTTAGTAATTTTTTGTAGGTATCATCTTCGTTCTAGTTGATCTTCTAAGTATTAATATTTTTTTATGGATTGTCATTTCCAGTAGGTAACGAAGTAATGCGTTCTTTCCGTAGGCTTGGATTGTAATCAAATTTCAAGCTGTTCATAAGAAACATTTGAATATAGAGACGGAGATTATCAATCAAATCAAGCTGTCCATGGAGGTAGCATCATAGATACCGAGATCTAAGGTTTGGCTGGAAAACTATAGAAGTACCTGGATCTCGAACGGTGGCCCGTACGGTGTGTCCCTTTTCCAGCAGCGACTTCACCAGGTGAGCTGCTATCAACCCCGTCCCCCCTGTAACGCAGTATTCTGGCATCTCTCTCTCTCTCTCTCTCTCTCTCTGTTTCCGTCCTTGCTGCCGGCAACCCGATGGTCTGCAGGGGCGGATCTATGAAAGGGACGTTCTGAATGCATTATCCATACAATAGGATCCGCCTACTCTGCTGTTCGCCCCTGCTGTTCATCACAACGGCACCGTTTGGTGTCTTTTTTCAAAAATCAATGAGACCCAAACCACTAGCCCAAAAATATTAATAACTTTTTGGCTGACTCAAACCACTGAAAGTATCAATCATGTTCAGTTAATTTTTGGTATCGATCGGTGTTNTACCCACCGGATGATTTTACCCGTGGGTTAATTTGCGTTTGATGATGTACTTGAGATGCACTTCAAAAAAAGATTTTTTCATTGGGCGAATGGAATTGAAGAATAAATAAATTTTTTTCGAGTATGTCGTAGAGTCGTAAATTATGCCATAAATGGTTAGGTAAATACTCTGGTTATCTTACATAAATGGTTAGGTACATCTACCAACAAAAAATCAAATTTTATTTTTAATTTTTGAACAGAATTTTTAACAATAAAAGCAAAAAATTTGAAAGCTAAATTACAATAAAATATGTTTCCCAGANGTAAATTTATAGCTTTTAATTATCTATTCAAACTTTTCATAAATATATCAATTGGCCATTATTTATATTTGATTAGTATAATTGTAAATCTATATCTATCTATATCTATACCTATACTTATATCTATATCTATATCTATACTACTAATAAAATGATGTTAAATGAAAAACTTTNCCCAGAAAAATGTTCAAGTCACTTTCATGCCAATTATGCTTAAAAGATAATAAAGCAATGTAATTCATGCATTTTAATTGTAAATGGACAATAGAACTTGGTTGCTTCTGATATTGAATGTTTAGTCAATTAATCATTTTGTTAAAGTGTTTTGGGTCGGGTTAGTAATAGGTCGTGTCATGTGAAAATTAGATTATGAACCACAANTATCACTTAATTACTTAAATCTCTTGATATTTAGTTAGATTATTTTAGGTCTAAATATAATATTTTAAACTTGAAGGTCTAGGTATTACACACTTATGAACTTTCAGGAGATCTGAATGTAATTTATTAATGGATATTGACGATAGGGTCTATGTATTGTGCATGTATAATTTTTGTGTAATATTTTAAATATTAAAGAGTCTAATTGATTAAGTAACAAATCTTAGGTGGTGTAGACGTAATTCTTTCAAAACAGTACAAAGCCTGTTCCCATTCCCCTCCGGCTAATAATCGCCAAAATCCAAACCGACGTAACACCTCTTCCCATGCCCTAACTCCNCATTATGCTATTGCAAAATTGTAGGCATCTGGTTAGAACGACGTCGTACATCTTGTGTTTTTTTGTTATATCATTGCACCTGTACTTTGGAAGGGTAAAGAAATGTACAATGTCATTTTTATTATTTTGCTTCACATGTTTTTTTTAATACNCACCCCCGCCGGTCAACGTCGTCTCTTTGAATCAGTAGGTGTCCCTGATGGCACACGGCTCCCGAATCCCCAGATATCCGTCCATGTCTGCCATGTGGGGNACTAATTAAAATTTTGTAATCCGAAATATTTAGCTTTTACCTTTTCTCTCGCATTATTTATTGGTAATTTGTTGTTTGTGATCATATAGAAGTTTGAATTTGAGAAGGGATAGTCATTTGAAAGTTTGCAGCTAAACAATGACATATTGATGTTTCTTGTCAAATAATTTGCTTCCAAGCAGCATAAGTCATACTAGAGTTCACATTAACACCAAACTGGTTGTGATTTTGTGTTGGTTTTTCTCGACTGTTGTACTAACTTAGTGATGATTTTAGTTTTTTGATCACATTTCACTTCCTATTCGAATGAACTATATTTGTATAATAATTTTATATTGGACATACTATGAATAAATAAAAGACAAAAAATCATAGAAGGTATAATCTTTATTAGTTCAGCGGACAGAGAGCAAACCAATGATACTACTTCAAGAGGTACTAATTTATGAATCTACTGGTTTTTCTTTCCAATTATGTTACTTACATAAATTTTTCTCACATTATAATTGTATGTTTTTTTTTGGGATGAATTATAGAATACCATAAATATTGCAACTAAACTTGTGGGGTGTACCTCTAATAATTTATTTTGTCTTTATTTACCTATCCTATTGCATGATGTTGGTAAAAATACCTATTTTCATGCTTATGTTGTGTCAAGTTTACTTCCATGTATGCTGAAAAATGGGCTAACTGAATTTGGGTTTGTTTTGTTGCTGTCAAGTAAACATTATGTGTATATTTATGGCACTTATGTTTTATTTCTTGATTAATTAGAAGCGCGGCATCTCTAACACTTGTAAAAATTTGATTAATGGCGGCCTATTTATGTATGCAATTGGTAGAATCGTATTCATGATTTGAAATACAAAGTACATGGACCATGTATGTCTGTCAGCATCAATCACTAACCACTGAACTTTCCAAGCACTTACAGGTGTATATACATACCCACAATAGGGCCACGAAATTCTTCTTTTTCTTTGGTCGAAATTAAGGATTCGAGGACAACCAGGATGGAACCTTATTTATTTATCGTAGGACCCTATGAGGGAAGCCGGTGGTGGGGCCTACACCGTGGAAAATCATATACGCTCCCAAAGACTAACTCTAGTTATAGTCTGATCATGTAGCGATGAGTTTCTAGAGTCCAACCTTATTATATACAAATCGGACGGTTTCTAGAGTCCGATGAGTTTGACTGCCAACCCAGTATGTTCCCTGTTTGGGAACGTTGCAGGAGGGTTGAAATTGACCGGTGTACCCTTGCCTTGTAACAAGTATTTTGGTTTTCAAGAGGGTCTGAATAGTAAATACAGATAAAACTATTATTTATTTTTGTACATTATTGGTTTTCAGTAGGGGGTTCATCCTACCCTACGGGTAGAAAATATGTTATTCCGTCTTCTTACCCGATATTTTGCGGAAGAGTTTTTTCTTGGTCTACCCTACCCGACAGGTGTGGTATTCCTACCTGATTAATCGGGTAAAAAATCGGGTAAATACTTTTATAACAATTAATTTTTGGATCATTTTAACAATTTAATTAAATGACATGCATCAATTTAACAACACAATAAATCAGTTAACATTAAAATCTAAAACAACTACATCAAGAATTATAATAAAACACAAGAAAGTATGAACATCAATCCACCATAATTGTTACACAAATACCATAACAATTAATTTAAGTTTAAACTTTAAATCATATGAAATACATTAAAATCATAATTGCTCTGCTTGTGATTATGGTTTAGGGTTTTTTCAGTTTATATATATATTAAAAATTTATTACAGGTAGGGTAGGGTAGGAATACGAAAATGGATGATTATTCCGTATTCTTACCCGAAAATTGTCGGAAGACCAANAAAAAAAATATAATAGCATAAATATTTCAACTAAAATTGTGGGGTGTAAAGGAAATGAAGGCAATCAATGTAAGCTCATTTATGTCAGTAACATGTAGTGTACGCTAGATCTCTGAAACTGGTTTGTTTTGAATAATTCTTATTTCCAGCTGCATACTATACTTCCTCGCTCTCTCAGTCTCTCTGTCCCATAAGCTATTCATCGGACAGAGAGCAAACCAACAATATCACTTAAAGAGGTATTAATTTATGAATCCATTGGTTTTCCTTTCCAATTATGTTACTTACATAATTTCTTCTCACATTACAATTGTATGTTTGTGGGGTGTATCTCTATTTGCCTTTGCTTACCTATCCTATTTTATGTTGTGTCATGTTTATAGTTTTTCCAATTTTTAATCTTCTGTGAGTTATTGTGTGATGTAATTGGGGAGGAAACTTCAATAAAGATGATTTGATTGTGGTTTCCAAATTTATTTTCTTTTGAGTGACTTGACCTTGGGCATTTGGTACAAAAGAGATGATGTAGAGCATATTTGAGCACATATTGAAATGGAAGTAAGGGTAAATCTCAGCGTGACATAGTTTTTAGTCTATCAAGAGCAGGGCCAAGCAATGAACTGTGCTGAAATTGTTTGAACCAACAAAAATGACAAGTTAACAGAAGAAGAGAGGAGAAATAGAGCACATAAAAGATAGGAGGACATGAACTATATGTAGAGGAAGAATGGGTGGTGCCTTTACAATTTTCCTTAACTTAAACCAACATTATGTTGGCATTTAAGAGAAAAGGCTTAAGATTCTCGCCCTTGGTTCTCCATAGCCTATATGAAGCTGCCTGGGTCATACTGGTTGATGTTTCCTTGCCAGATGTAGCACTGAAACATCCAGACACCGGCCTCTTCCCCTGCCAGCTGCCTCTCCACCACAAGTTTGGTGCTTAGATCCCTGCAATGAATAAGTTCTTCACATTTACATGCCAATTACTAAACCCAGCCAAGTAACTAAAAATAATAATGGATTTACCTGAGTTCTTGAACCAGCAGGTATTTAACTATTCCTAATAGCAGTAGTGCTGGTTGAGACAGAGAAGCAAAAGTAGTACCTACCTTTGCATTGCATATGGTACATTAGTTATAGCAAAAATGTAAAGATTGGAAAAAATTAGGTATAGGAAAAATATGTTACCTTCACTAGCTTGGACTGTGGGTGTAGTCTATTCTTGCACGACCTTTTGTTATGACCAATAAGGAAGCATAATAGTTGAGCAATAATAGTTTGTGTGCGTGCAAGATTCTGCACAATATAAAAAACGAGAACAAATCTCTCCCTTGGTGAACTCGAGTGAGCCAGTTGAGTGACCAAACACGCTGCTTGGGATAACCTGCAAGGTACGGTGGTAACCTGGGACGGCAACGGGAGACTCTGGGAAAGGAAGAACGATCCTGTAAGGCTGAAAGAGGTTCCTGGAACAAAGAAGAACAAGTTAGAAGGGCGCCGGAGTGTTTTCCGGCGTATCCCCTCCGACGATCTAGTCAGTCTTTGAGAGAGAGAGAG